GCACCGCTCAGCACAGCACATCGCCGCCTGGACGGCCGAGGTGGCGCCCCCCAGCGGGCTCGGGAGCTGTGCGGCCCGCCCCTCCCCTGACACCCGGCGCTCCGACGTTTGCGACGACCTCTCGACCTCCGCCCATGGAAGCCGAGCGCCGAGCAGGGCGACGGACCCGCCGCTCCGATGTTGCCCTTAGCGCCGGACGTCTGTGCCCGCCCGCGCGTCGCCCGACGCAGTGGGCCGCCCCCCCGGGCCCACGACGGTCGCCGAGAGGCCTTGGGGCCCTGGTTTGGCGGCGCGCCCAGACCCCTGGCGACGTGATTTTTTCACAACGTCGACCCCCAGAGGTCTGGAACCCTTCCCCGCGACCGGCGTCTCTTCCTGAATCGTTTGTTGACGGTCTCGAGGCCCGGTAAGGGCCCCCAGAGGCCGAGAATCGCGCAAAACCTCCCGTCGCGTTTTTGTTCTCTTCGCGAGGGGGTCTGGGTGTGGCGGCGCGCCGAGCCCCCAGCAAGCCGGCAGTCCTCCTCGACGGCGGGCGCCGCCGCGCGGCGGCCTCCCGGGCGCCCCGCTCTCGCGCCCTGCGCGCCCTGCGAGCCCCGCGGCCCGCTCCCCGCGGCTGCAGGCGCCCTCCGGCCTCCAGGCAGAGGCTCGCGGCGAGGCGGCCCCCGCCGCCCCGTGGGGACCGACGGCGCCGCCCTGATGGGCTTGTCTGCCAACACCACCACCATGAGTTGGAGGGGGGAAGGTGGAGGAGGAGGGGTGAAGGTGGAGGAGGAGGAGGAGGAGGAGGAGGAGGAGGAGGAGGAGGAGGAGGAGGAGGACCACCTCCCCTTCCTACTCATCATGGTGGTGGCGGTGGAAAGCAATCTGCACCACGGCGGCCGACGGCGGCCGCACCGCCTCGCGCCGCGGCGCCTGGCCCGCTGCGGCCGCGGCGCGCGGCGCCGACCGGGGTCGGTGCCGGCAGGCCGCCAGGCACGCGGGCCGCGGCTGCCGGGCGGCAGCCTCCTCCGTCTCCTGCCCTGCTCCTGGTTCCTGCGGCCCCCCGTGTCTCGGAGGTTGATAGACCTCCTACCCTGACACGTCGATTAGTGAATTGGCGGAGGAGTAGGAGTAGGAGGAGGAGGAGGAGGAGGAGGAGGAGGAGGAGGAGGAGGAGGAGGAGGAGGAGGAAGAGGAGGAAGAGGAGGAGGAGGAGGAGGAGGAGGAGGAGGATGAGGAGGAGGAGGAGGAGCTGGCGGAGGAGGTGGCGGAGGAGCTGGCAGAGGTGGTTCGATGGTATCGCCTGGATTCGATGCGTAAGGGCGTCCTCGGCATCGCTCCAGCCTCGGGATGCCTTCCAGCAGCTGCGCCTCACGAGGGCGTCCAGGGGGTGCCCGGGTCGTCCCGAACGGCTGCCGGAGGCGCGAGCTGTGACCCAAAGCCAGAAGACTCGGGGGTGGACAGACCTCCTACCCTGACACGTCGATTAGTGAATTGGCCGTTTTCGGTTCGCGAGAGGGCGTCGCGGCCGTCATTTTCGCGGGTCTAAGCCCGTCGGTTTCGGTCCTGGGCCGTTTTCATTGAAGGGAGGTTTACTAAAGGGAGGTTTGTCCACCGCCGATTGTCTCGGGAGGGAAAGAAATACACAGACACAATGAATCGTCGATTCCCCAGAAAATAAGGGAAAATATGGGAAGTGTGGGGGGGTGAGAAGACGAAGGCCCAGAAAATATGGGAAAGTATGAGGAATCCTGTTAATTGTGTCTATTTGTTTGTGTGTCCCATGTCCCCTTCATTGTCGGCGTCACCCCATCATACGAATAGCACTCTTCGGGGAAGCGTAAGACCCGAGTGCGCCAGAGCTCAGGCGTGCCAGCGCTTTTGGACGAGCGCATCCTGGATTTTGGCGGTGCAGTTTTCATGGGATGTTTACCGCTGAAGCTCGCGTCAAATGTTAGAATGGGTCTCGTCATTTTCATGATGGCCCCGTCAGGCCAACCCGAGTCCCCTGAACCCGAGTCTTACGTATCCCCGAACTTTGTGTACGTCACCTCCCATGGGCGATGCGCTCATAGAGAAACATCTTATTCATGTAGGCGTCGTGGCGGGCGTTTTCTGACTGTACCGCTCGGGAAACGATATGCTACGATATTTGTGTGCACTGTATGTTCGGGTCGGACGCACGCCTCCGATAAGGACACATCGTCCTAGTATGTCCTTGTGCGTTCCACCTTTCCCTGACATCCTGGCGTCATGAAGAGACCACGATGCGTGTGGGTCGGTTTCGCCCTCCAGCGTTCCTTACGAGGCCCCAGGACCGCAGGGAAAATGCTTTTGACGAAAGGCCAGTGCCAGGGAAAAGGCTGGCGGGGCGCACGAGGGGGTGGTGGCGCGGGAGCGGCGTTCTAACAAGGCGGAGGGCTGAAAAGCCAGGGGCCTTCTCAGAAGGCTTTCTGGCTTCTAAGATGTTTAAAGAAGCCGACATAGCCTCTCAGCAGGCTCCCGCCTTCAAAGAAGCTCTCAGGCATTCTCACGGTCTGTGTGCGCTGCGTTGACGCGGCAGCGACCCCAGCGCGGCTTTCAATGTTAAACGCCACCAATGGCCCAGAATTGGCGGGTGTCGAGCAATCTGCGCTATCGGAGAGCCGCGATCGTTCAAGACTGAACGATCCTCCCGACGTCAGAAACCAACACCCGTGGCAACGCGACGCGAACCAGCCGTAAACGGCCACTACCCTCGCCCTCCCCCCTCTGTGCGTGCGGTCAGCTCGCCCCCCCAGCCCGTGCCCGTCAGGAGCGCCGCGACGAAGTCTACGATCACTATTGGGCTGACAGTGGGCACCAGAAGCGCCTGCTCAACGACGCTCTGGCCAGGATGCCAGCGGGCCTCATCGCCTCCGACAGGCATTTGTCGGGCCACGGTCTCTCCTGGGACGACATCGTATTTTTCAGCCGGCTCCGCGGCATCACGCTCATCAAGGACGTCAAGTTACCTCCAGCGTTAGATGCGTATCTGAGCACGATGAGCGAGATGACTGACGTACCTCTTCTGACGCAAATGGCGATGTAGAGGAACTGGTGAGATACACGATTTGGCGCCCTCGCAGTGGCGCTGCGGAGCCTCGCAGTGGCGCCTTCGCAGTGGAGCTGCGGATTAGAGACGCGCCATTCAAGATCGTCGTCAGAGGCACCTGCAAGCCCGACTCTTTTTTGGGATCATAGGTATGCGTCCCACCACAGTGGGCCAGCAGGGGGCTGCCAGTGACGTCAAGCCTGTCCGTTGTGGTGCTCGGGCGGGTGCCTCGCCAGCCTTCGGCGACCTCCAGACTTGACACCCGAGGGGGCTCATGCGCACTTGCAGGGTTCGTGCTGGCCCGTGCGCTGAGCAGAGCACACGGCCACGCCCTGATGGCTCTTGAGGCTTTGGGCCACTCGGGGGGGAGGGGGGCTCGCGGTGAGCTCCCCCCGAAGGGCTCCCCCAGAGCCATGAGGGACTCCCCGCAGAGGCTCCCTCGCTCCCCCTTCGCCTCTGTGTCCACCTCGAGTCTCCTCCCCTGCCCGCCCCCCATCCTTGCACTCCGAGCCCCTCCCGTGCGCTTCCCCCTTCTGCCTCCCCTGCCTTTCCACGCCTCCTTCCCTGCCTCCACTTCCCATTTTCTCGAAGTTCATCCCTCCTCGCCCTCCTCCTCCTCCTCCTCCTCCTCCTCCCTCCCTCCCTCCCTCCCTCCCTCCCTCCCTCCTCCCTCCCCCCTCCCTCCCTCCTCCCTCCCTCCTACTCCCCTCGCCTGCCTCTTCGAGCCCCCGCCCCCCTCCCACCCTCCCTCGCCCGATGCCTGTCCGCCACCCCTCCGTGCCCCACGCTGTCCTGTCCACCCCTCTTCTCTCCTGGCCCCCCCCCCACTGCCCCGCTCCCGGGGGCGCCCCTCCTGGGGGAAGGGGAGGGAGCAGAAGAGAAGAGAGAGAGAGAGAGAGAGAAGGGCCGACGACGAGAGGGAGGGGGGGAGAGGGGGGACACCAGGACACCGTTCATAGAGGCGCCAGCCAGTCCCCCCGCGGGTGCCACGAGCGGAGCAGAGCCCTGGCGCGGCTCCAGGAGACCCGCCAACGGGGGAGAGGGAGGGGAGGTGGGACGGGAGGTGGCACAGTCGGCCCTGATTGGTAGGTCGACCATGCCAAATCGAGGATACTCACGTGTCCTGTCTCTCGCAACCTGTGCAACCCGCATGTCCTCGAGTGCTCTGCGGCCACGTGGCCGTCGGAAGAGTCTTGTGTCCTCTCGCCTGTCCCGTCCAATCAAGTCCGACTGTAGGCCCCCCCCGCCCTCTGCCCCCCCCCCGCCCCTCCCCACGGCTGCCTCTCCCCCTCCACCCCGCCCCTCCCTCCCCTCCCCACCCTCTCCCCCCCTCCACCCCGCCCCTCTCCCCACCCTCTCCCTCCTCCTCCCCGCCCCTCTCCCGCCCCGCCCCACCCCTCTCCCCACGTCCGCCTCTCTCCCCCGCTCCTCCCGCTCCTCCCGCTCCTCTCGCCCCGCTCCTGCTCCTCCGAGCCCCCCCCCCCCGCGCCCGCGGCACCTCCGCGGCGGAGGCGACGCCGGGGGCGGCGCCGACCCGTTGCTGAGTTTTTCTGTTTGCCGCAGTCTTTTTCAAACAAACAAAGCATCGTGGCGAGGATGGGGAGAAGGAGGGGGAGGAGGAGAGCCTCCTCCTCCTCCTCCTCCTCCTCGCCCTCCTGCTCCTCCTTCTCCATTCCTTCTCCTTATAAACAACTTCTCCCTGTCGCACCCCGAGGCCAGTTTTTAGGGCGGGCCGGGCGTTTCGCCTGAGACTCCCTCACCATATATGACTCTGGAGCTCAAGAAGTGACAACAACTTCTCAGATGGAGGGCGCATGGTTTTCAAAATGTGGCTCTCGCCGAAGCGCCGCGCACATTTGTTTTAAATAGTTACAAGAGCTTACAGATGGAGGGCGCATGGCTTTCAAAATGTGGTTCTCGCCTGAGCGCCGCGAACATTCGTTTTAAACATGTGTAAGAGTTTCACGGGTTGAGGGTGGTTGGTTTTCAACATGTGGTTCTCTCCCTAGCGCCGCGCGCATTCCTTACAACACAGCGCACGAGTTTCATGATTGAGGGCGGTTTTTTTTAGATATGGCTCCCGCCTTAGCGCCGCGCACATTCTTTTTCAACCAGTGCAAGAGTTTATACCGGATTGAGGGCGGGTGGTTTTCCAAATGTGGCTCTCGCCTTAGCGCAGCGCACATCCGTTTAAACACATTGCAAGAGTTCACGGATTGAGGGCGGGTCGTTTTCAAAATGTGGTTCTCGCCCCAGCGCCGCGTACATTCGCTTGAAACATTTGCAAGAGCTTCACATATGGAGGGCGGGTGGTTTTCAAAATGTGGCTCTCGCATAAGCGCCGCGCACACTCGTTCAACAAACATTGCTAGACTTTCACGGGTTTCCATGACCAACGTACCAGACATGGTGTTTTGGCAGGGTTCAGAATTATTCGGGCGCAACAGTTATGTTGAATCGTGGTGTTGAAGTCCTAAGAATGGCGCTCTGGCACGATTCCAGATCGTCAAGACGCAGCAGTCAGGTTGATACGTGGCGTTGAAATCCCGAGAACAATGCTTTGGCATGCTTCAGGATCTTCAAACGGTTGTCTTCCAACGATGCAGTTCCCTCAATGGAAATCAGCCTTTGTAGGGGCTTGTGAAGATGGAGCTTGGAGACAGGATTAATTCCAACATCGTTGATGACTCTTGGGTTTGCACTGGTCCTCCTCCTCCTCCTCGCCCTCCTCCTCCTCTTCGTCCTCCCCTCCTCCTTCGCCTCCTCCTCCGCCTCCTCCGCCTACTGCTCATCCTCCGTCCCCTTCGGCTCCTCCTTCCCCCTCCCCCTCCATCTCGCGTGCGCGTCGCGCCGCCCGTCCCCCCTATCCCGTAGGGGGCGGAATGCGGACGCAGGACGTGGAGGAGGCGAGAGGAGGAGGAGGCGGGAGGAGAAGGATGAGGTGGAGGAGGAGGAGGAGGAGGAGGAGGAGGAGGAGGAGGAGGAGGGTGAGGAGGGGGAGGAGGGAAGGACGAGGGTAGGCGTTGGAGGATGAGGAGGTCGAATATGAGGAGGAGGAGGACGACGACGATGATGATGACGACGACGACGATGATGATGATGATGATGATGATGATGATGGTGATGATGATGACGACGATGATGATGAAGATGATGATGATGATGATGATGATGAGGATGATGATGATGACGATGACGACGTCGACGACAATGCTGATCACCGTGATGATGATGCTGCTGATGATGCTGCTGCTGCTGATGACGATGATGCTGATGATGATGGTGGTGGTGATGATTGTGATGATGATGGTGGTGATGATGATGCTGATGCTGATGATGGTGCTGTTGTTGGTGATGATCATGATGCTGGTGAGGATGCGGACGATGATGATGTCGATTATGCTGATTATGATGATGAGGACGATGAAAATGAGGATGAGGACGAGGATGATGATGATGAGAATGCTGATGCGGATGCTGATGCTGATGATGATGATGATGATGATGATGATGATGATGATGATGACCATGATGATGACGATGATGATGATGTTGATGCTTATGATGATTATGATGAGTATGAGGCTAATGATGATGGTGATGATGGTGGTGATGATGATACTGATGATTACGATGATGATGATGATGATGATGATGATGATGATGATGATGATGATGCTGATCATGATCATGATGCTGTTGGTGATGGTGATCGTGATGGTGGTGGTGGTGATGGTCTGATGATGACGATGGTGACGACGTTGATGACGATGATGGTAATGATGATGATGATGATGATGATGATGAAGCTGGTGGTGGTGATGATGATGATACTGATTCTGATGATACTGATGATGATGGTGATGAAGATGATGATGCTGATGAAGTTGATGACGAGCAGGATGACGATTGTGATGATGATGGCGATGATGATGACCATGATGGTTATGGTAGTGCTACTGATGATGATGATGATGACGATGATGATGATGATGATGATGATGATGATGATGATGATGATGATGATGATGATGATAAAGACGGCGATGATGGTGCTGCTGATGATAATGATGCTGATGATTATGGCGGTGATGACGATGAGGATGATGAGGACAATGATGAGGGGGAGGAAAAGGAGGAGGAGGATACAGGAAGAAACCGAAATGGGGCCATAGTAGATAGGGTCGGAGATTCGCGCCGCATCACTGATGCATCGGTGATGTGGCGCGATCCGAAGTCTGATAATCTCTGTTCAGACGTTGCTGGTGGCCGCGATTGGGGGCCTCCAAAGTCGAGGAGGAAGAGGGGAAGGAGGACGTGGAGGAGGGCGAGGATGCGACGAGGATGAGGACGAGGATGGCGGATGAGGAGGAGGTCAACGATGGCGGAGGGGGGAGTAGGAGATGGAGGTGAAGCCCTGCCAGCAAGGGGCACGTCAGCGCAGCCTGGGAATGCCGCGTGGTATCTCTCATGTTCGCGAAGTCCGCTGGAGACTTTCCAGTGATGTGTGCCTGGCGATGCGAAGAGCCCTTCCACTGGTCGGCCCCGCGTTGTCGACCATGGCCCAAGTTTCCTCGCTCCACGCTAAGTCCGGGGACACCTGGGCACCAGACCCACAGGAGTTTGTCGTGGAGCGGCTTCGCATGTCGTTCCCAGGCTCGAGTGGGAAAAGGCACGCTGTGCGTTCTAAGCCTGAATCGGCACAGCAGCGCATGGCATCCCAATCGATCCGATCTGGTGAGGGTGTACTCTTCCGGAGTCTCCGGCTCAGCTAAGGGCTCGAGTTGCCGGCAGAAGGCGGAGGAAACCATTGTTGGTGTTTGAGGTTTTCTTGGATTGGCATTGTCTCTTTCATGCCTTCTGTGATCCAGGAGGGGAAAGAACACGGACACAATTCATCGTCGACTCCCAGGAACATGTGGGAAAATATGGGAAGTGGGGGGGACGACGAAAATCCTGAAACATTGGAGAATATGGGAATCTTTTTATTTGTGTGTATTTAGTTGTGTGTCTTGGGGCCCCCTCAGTGATGCAGGGGCAGCGTGCGTTTCCTGGAGCTCCGCTCGCGGCCTCGCCAAGGTCACGCGTACTCTGTGCTGCGCGTTGTCGAGGGTGGCGGCGAGCAGCTGGTGTGCTGCCGCAACCCATGGGGTGCAGGAGACGGGGCTGAAACATGTGGACGCGGGCGCAGCTTTCACCTCCTCGGTGCCTGATTGTGTTCCCTTTTTCTCTCTCTCTCTCTCTCGTGTTCTCTCGCTTTCTCCTTTTTTGTTCTCTCTCTCTTTCCCTCGTTGTTCTCTTTCTCTCTCTCTCTCTCTTTTTTTGTTTTTGTTCTCTCTCTCTCTCTCTCAATACATAAATGTATATATGGATATGAATTCATCCCTCCCCGTCTCTGTCTCTCTCTCTCTCTCTCTCTCCCCCCTTTCTCTCTCTCTCTCTCTATCTTTTTTCTCTCTCTCTCTCTCTCTCTCTCTTTCCCTCCTCCCCTCTCCCTCTCTCTTTATCTTTCTCTCTCTCGCTCTCGCTCTCTCTCTATGTGCATCGTTGTGTTTCGTAGTATGTATTCATAATACATATATATAGGTGTACGTATCTACAAACACACCTATATGTATACACATGTATATCCTGACTTCCCTCTATCTCTTTTCCTCCCTTCGCGTGCCTCGTGCCCTCTCCCTGTCCCTCGCGTTCCGGCCCTCCCGTCTCGCCTCCTCTGTCCTCTTCAGGTATCGGGTATTATCTGTCTGTTGCTCCCCCGCGCTGTTGCTACTAAGCCGTGCTAGTCATACCAAACGTCCTCCTCCTCCTCCTCCTCCTCCTCCTCCTCCTCCCCTCCTCCTCCTCCTCCTCCTCTTCCTCCTCCTGGTGGCCAGTGTGGAATTGATTGGTAGCGCGGATCTTTCCATTCTATAGGTGTGCGTTGTATCGAAGACGCCTCCGGCGAACTGCCGCCGCCCCCTGCCTTTTGGAACCGCCCATGTGGCCGAGCGTTGTGGCAAGAGCTCTGCTAAGCTATCGGACCATGTGTTCCCCCCAGCCGTTGTGAAAACCCTTCGGGAAACATTTGGGGGAGGCTGGCGGGGATGATCAGGAGGAGGAGGAGGAAGAGGAGGAGGATGACGAGGAGGAGGAGCAGGAGGAGCAGGAGGAGGAGGAGGAGCCGGAGGGGGCATCTTGCAAGCCTCTGGGGGGCACTCTTGGGGCCTCAGGGGGCTTCCTGGGAGCTTGGGTGCCTCCTTAGGCCTCTCGGGGGCCTTAATGGGCTTCTCGGGGGCCTCTTTGGTTGTCTTATGGCATTCCTGGCCCGCCTGGTGCCGTCGAAAGCCGCCTTGGGGGCCTCTCTGGGCCGACTTGGGTCCCTCTTGGGGTGCTCCAGGGCCGTCTTGGAAGCCATCTTGGGCGGCTTCGAGGCCTCTTGGGCCGTCTTTGGGCCATCTAGGGGCCGTCTTGGGGCCTCTTGGGCCTTTCTGGAGCCATCTTGGGGGGGCTCTTGGGCAATCTTTGGGCGATCTTTGGGGGCTCTTGGGCCGTCTCGGGCCGTCGGAAGGCCGAACAGTAGCAAATGCCAACATCCTCCAAAAAATCTAAGGCAGATCAATGAGTTTGGCCTTTTCGGGCCTTCCTGGAGGCCCTCTTGGATGTATCTTGGGCCGTATTGGGGACCTCTGGGGGGCCTCTTGGGCCATCGTGGAGCCATGTTGGGCCGTCTTGGTTGGCTCCTGGCCCGTCTGACGCCGTCGGAAGCGGTCTGGGGGGGCTCTCTGGGTCGATTTGGGGTCCTCTTGGGGTGCTCCAGGGCCGTCTTGGAAGCCATCTTGGGCGTCTTCGAGGCCTCTTGGGCCTTTCTGGAGCCATCTTGGGGGGCCTCTTGGGCGATATTAGGGCGATCTTTGGGGGCTCTTGGGCCGTCTCGGGCCGTCGGAAGGCCGAAAAGAAGCAACTACCAATATCCTCCAAAAAACCTAAGGCTAATCAATGATGTTGGCCTTTCCGGGCCTTCCTGGAGGCCCTCTTGAAGGCATCTTGGGCCGTCTTCGAGGCCTCTTGTGGGCCTCTTGGACCGCCCTGGGCAATCTTAAGGCCATCTTGGGAGGCTTCTTGGACAACCTTGGCGGCATCTTGGACCCTCTTGGGCCGTCTTAGAGGCAATCTTGGATCATCTTGAGCGAGCTTGGAGACCATCTTGGGCTATCTTAGCCGTCTTGTAGGCCATCTTGGGGCCATCCTGTAGGCGAAGACCGATGGAGTGCACTTTTTAGGCGGCCTTTCGGGTGGCTGGCGCAGTGAACCGAACCCCCATGGGGAGTTAGTTCTTTTGGAGAAAGAACCAAAATCAAGCCGTATAGGATTCAGCACGCCAGGCACCTTGTGGCAAGCCAACAGGGGGCGGCGGATCGAAGATGCCTACGGCGAATCACCGCCGCCCTCTGGTTTTTGGACTGGCCCAGGTGGCCGAGCGTTGTGGCAAGAGCTCTGCCGAGCTATCGGACCATGTGTTCCCCCAGCCGTTGTGGAAACCCTTCGGGGAACACTGGGGGGAGGCTGGCGGGGAAGATCCGTAGGAGGAGGAGGAGGAGGAGGTCTCCCACGCGGGCCCTCCCTGAGGTTGAGTGGCTCCGCTCCCCGTGTATGGGGTGGCCTGCCCAAAATCATGTTTAGGGGAACAAGAAGTCACGTAAACAAGAAAACTCTGAGGTCCGCGCGGATTTCTTGGATCGGCGCTGGACCCCCCTCCCTGGCGCGCGGAGCGCGCCAGGGGCGGCGCCGGAGGCGCCGCCAGGGGGCCCCAGCGCCGATCCGAGAAATCCGCGCGGACCTCAGAGTTTTTATGTTTATGTGACTTCTTGTTCCCCTAATGTTAGCCGCCACCTCAGGAACACACGTGGCCCAAGGTCGCCCTTCTCCGCCTCTGGAGGGACGAGCTCCACCTGGAGCGGGCCGCTTGGTTCGACGGGCCCAGAGGTTAGCTCCCCTCTCTTTTGTTTTCTCGGGGCCCCGTTGTCCAATAGTAGGCCATGCCCCCCTACGAGTGTCCAGGAGGAGGTGGAGCAGGAGGAGGAGGAGGAGGAGGAGGAGGAGGAGGAGGAGGGGGTATCTTGGGAGCCTCTGGGGGCACTCTTGGGGCCTCGGAGCTTCCTGGGAGCCTATTGGAGGCATCTTGAGGGCCTCCTTGGGCTTCTTGGGGGCCTCTGGGGGCTTCTCGGAGCCTCTTTGGCAATCTTGGGGCGTTCCTGGCTCGTCTGACGCCGTCTTGGGAGCATCTCTGAGCCGACTTGGGGCCCTCTTGGAGGCTCCAGGGCTGTCTTGGAGGCCATCTTGGGCGTCTTAGAGGTCTCGTGGGCCGTCGTTGGGCCCTCTTGGGGCCGTCTTGGGGGCCAATTGGGCCGTTCTGGGGCCATCTTGGAGGCCGTTTGGGCGATCTTGGGACGATCTTTGGGGGCTCTTGGGCCGTCTCGGGCCGTCGGAAGGCCAAGAAGAAGCAAATGCCACAACCCTCCCAAACCCTACGGACTATCAATAGTCTTGGCCTCTTCGGGCCTTCTGGAGGCGCTCTTGGAGGCCTCTTGGGCCGTCTTGGAGACCTCTTGGGGGCCTCTTGGGCCGTCTTTGGCCATCTTGGAGCCATCTTGAGCCGTCTTGGTTGGCTTCTGGTTTGTCTGACCCCCTCGGATGCAGTCTTGGGGGCCTCTCTGGGCCAACTTGGGGCCCTCTTGAGGTGCTCCAGGGCCGTGTTGGAGGCCATCTTGGGCGTCTTCGAAGCTTCTTCGGCCATCTTGGGGCCCTCTTGAGGCCGTGTTGGAGGCCTCTTGGGCCTCTCTTGGGCCATCTTGGAGGCCTATTGGGCGATATTGGGGCGATCTTTGGGGGCTCTTGGGCCGTCTCGGGCCGTCGAAAGGCCGAAAGAAGCAAATGCCAAAATATTACAAAAACCAATAGGAAATCAATAATGTTTGCCTCTTCGGGCCTTCCTGTAGAACCTCTAGGAGGTTGTTGGGCCGCCTTGGAGACCTTTTGGGGGCCTCTTCGGTCGTCTTGGGCTATCTTGGAGGCTTCTTAGGCGGACTCGGAGCCATCTTGGACCCTCTTGGGCCGTTTTGGAGGCCACCTTGGGCCATCTGGACACCAAGAGCACGATTTTTTGAGGATGTCCCGAGCGAGACGGCCGTTGGGGAGGCACGGCGACCACCTTCTCCGGGAGGCCGGCGGCGCGGACCGGAGGCCCAGGGTAAAGTTCTTTGAGAGGCAGACCCTGAACAAAACTAGTGGGATCTAGGAGCGTGTTTCTTTATTGCTTGGGGCATCTCGGGTGTTATGGCCCCCGGCCCCCCCCCCACCTATGACGCAACGCCCTCCCCCCCCAGTGCGCCCCGGGCTCTGCCGCCGTGCGCATCGGGATCCGCATAGGCGTCTGCATGGTAGGGAGGGGGGGGGAGGGGGGGACGATGACGTCACGTTTCGCGCCGGCACCGTCTGGGAGTGCTTGCGAATGACAGAGGACGGGTAGCAGCAGCATGTAAGTGACGATCTACACCACAGCGCCTGTGTACGCCATAATGCATGCGTGCACCACAGCGCCTGTGTACATGTGTACACCACACCGCCTATGTACACCACAGCAGCCGCGTGCAACACAGCGCCAGTGTGTGCCACAGTGCCTGCGCGCACCACAGCGCGTATGCACACCACAGCGCCTGCGCACACCACATCAGCCGTGTGTAGCACAGTACTACCAGTGTACCACTGTAAAGACCACAGCGCCTGTGTGCACCGCAGCAACCGTGTGCAACAGAGCCCCGTTGTTGTATGTAGAATGTGGAAGAAATCCTTATGACAACATAGAACTCCTGTGGATCCCACAGCAAACCATTCATTTTGTTACAGGATGCTCAAAAGTGTCCTCAATGCGCAGGGGAGCGCCGCTGGAATCTGCGAGTCTTCTTGAGTCCTCCCGCATCATCTTAACTCCTCCCATCTGCGTTCGAGAACCACGTGGGTTGATTCAATAGACCATTCTGCGGTGCACGCTGACTTGCGCAAGTGCGCTGTAGCGCCGACCCGCCGACCCGCACGACGGGGGGAAGGGGGAAGGAGGAGGAAACAAAGGATGATGAGGAGGAGGAGGCGGAGGAGGAGGTGGAGGAGGCGGCGGAGGCGACGGTGACGGCGATGGCGACGGTGACGCGCACATGGCCCCTCCCCCTTGAGTTGCAGGGGGGGGGGGTTCGAACTGGGAGGGGGCCATTCCGCCCTGTGGCGCTGGCGCCGGCGCCGTCGGGCACCGACGACGACGACGGCGACGACGACGGACCTCCCCCCAGTTCGGACCTTCCCGCCCCCCGGGGTTGGAACCCGTGGGCCCCCCTCCGGTTCGAACTTCCCCTGTACTCAGGGTGGGGGGTGGAGCTTCCCCCCCCCCCCCTCCCTGGTTCGAGCCTTTGCCCTCCGCTGGGAGGGCCCCCCCCCTCCAGGTCAGGGAGGCCAGCGCCAGTGTCCAGGCAGGGGGGGCCCACCCCAGGTTCTCCAGGGGTGCTCAATGTGTTGTTGGGGGTGGGGGCGCCCCCGGTTCCAACTTGTCAAGGTGTTTCACAAGACAAGCGTCCACGAAACGCGTTCTCTCTCTCTCTCTCTCTCTTTCTTTCTTTCTTTCTCTCTCTCTCTCTCTCTCAGATATACACATATATATAGAGAGAGAGAGCGAAAGATCGTATACGAGCGAAGTATGTGTGTATGTATAGAGAGAGAGAGAGAGAGGAAAAGAGAGAGAGAGCTATACATATATGTGTACCGATATACATATACATATACATATACATATACATATACATATACATATACATATACATATACATATATATATGTATATAAATATATATGTACGCGTATATGTACACACGCATATACATATATACACATTCTCATACGCACCTCCCCGAGGAAGCAGAGCTCGGAGGCGATTGGCTGAAGCCGCTTTGATTGTTCTGGCCGTTTCGCCCGTGACATCCTCAGAATTCTGAGACGGGGACGCACCTCTCATGCAGATCGCGACGTCACGGTCCAAGAGCACAAGGGTGTTTCAATGTCTCATATATAACGTTCTTGCACACAATGGCTTTCAATGATTTTGGACGTCGCTTTTCGCATGAGACATCCTCCAACAACCGAGCCCCTTTTTCCACGACTTTTTGAAAACACGTAGTTTCGCTTGAGACACCCTCCCAAATCGAGCCCAGACGTACAACACACAGATTAAACACACAGCACATGCAGAACCCACCACACAACACACACATAACATACAACACCTTCAACACGTATAGCGCACACGCAGAGAATACCCACGCGTACACATCACACATGACACACAACACGCCCAACACACGCAACATGCACAACGAACGCAACACACCTAAGACACATACCACGCAGAACACGTAGTACAAACATAACACACATAACACGCAAGACACAAAACACACACACACGCGCACAACACACACACACACAACACACACACACACACATTAGACGCACGTTACACGCTACGCTCAAATTCTGCACATGTGTTTGTATGAGCCTGGGCGCGTACATGCCACATGTAGATACTTCACATCTACAGCGAAACGTCTTGCGTTTGTGGTTCATGCTGCAATATCTACACGGGTATACTATAGCATGTATCTCTCTTTGTCTCCACTTCTCTCGTCCTCCGCACCTTCCCTTCCCTCATGTCCTGCGATTCCACTCAGGCGCTCAGTCATCTGCACCCCGCAATCCTATCCTTCCTGTCTGCCTCCATTCTCTTTTGCCGTCATGGCTTCGCCCCAGGAGAGTGGACAGGGAAATGGTCCGACGCTAACGAATTCGGCGAGTGGACGGATGAGATGAAGGAGATCACGGGTTACCAGGGCCTCGACGATGGCAAGTTTTGGATGAGCATGGAGGATGCGGCGACGCGCGGCCTGGGCAGCCCCTCTTCGCCAGGTTTGACTCCTCCCTCGGCAGCCGCCACCTCCCCTCCCTCCCCGCTGGCAGGGCAGTCAATTCGCGAGCTCCAACCATACAAGAAAGGGCACACTCAGGACGGCAACGAGAAGGATAATGATGAGGAGGAGGAAACAAGATGAGAAATAAAAGAAAAGGGGCACATACACGAAGTAGAAGGATGAGATGGAACAGTCGGAGGAGGAGGAGAACGGGGTAGTAGGTGTAGCCGTAGTAGTAGGAGGAAGAGGAAGAACAGCCGTAGAAGGAGGAGCAATAGGATGATTCTGATGATGACGATGACGATGACGATGATGATGAGACTGATGATGATGCTGATGATGCTGATGATGATGATGATGATGCAGAGGACGATGAGGATGAAGATGGAGAGACATATGATAATGAGGATGCTGATGATGAGGATGATGATCATGATTATGATGATGGTAATGAGGACGACGCTGATGCTGAAGCTGGTGACGCTAATGCTGAAGCTGGTGATGATGCTGCTGTTGTTGATGATGGTGCTGCTGATGGTGGTGATGGTACTTGTGTTACTGCATGATGCTGATGATGAGGTTGATGATGCTGACGGTCAGACTGATGGTGATGATGATGAGGATGCTGATGCTGATTAGGATGATGATGACGATGAAGATGATGATGTGGCTTATGCTGAAGACGATGCGTATGATGACCAAGATAATGGTTGTGATGATGATAATTCGGATGGTAATGATGCTGATGATGGTGATGATGATGATGATGATGATGATGATGATGGTGGAGTTTGTGGTATTGCTGATGCTGCTGATGATGGTGATTCTGGTGATGATATTGCGGCTGCTGCTGACGATGATGGTGATGATGATGATGATGCTGATGCTGCTGCTGATGATGATGATGATGATGATGATGATGATGATGATGGTGGCGATGATGATGCTGCTGCTGATGATGATGATGATGCTGATGATGACGAGCAGGAGCAGGAGCAGGAGCAGGATCAGGAGCAGGAGCAGGAGCAGGAGGCGAAGGCGAAGGCGAAGGCGAAGGGGCGTAGGAGCAAAAGCTAAAGGAGAGGGAAGTGGAGGAGGATGATAAGAACGGGCATGGAGACAGTGAGGATGACGAGCAGGAAGAGGACACGAAGGAGGAGGCGAAAATGTGGATACAAGAGGATGGCGATTCTACAGCTTGGATGTAGCGGTCGACAGACGGGGGCGAGCGTACCCGGACATGTCCCTGATGCAGATGCTCGCTGCCCTCCCAGGCCTCTGCTGCTGGTAACGCCGAAAGTCTCAGGAAGCAGGAGGCAGCGCATCTCGAGCTGCAGGCCTTCAAACAGCAGTACCACCACGAGGCGCAGAACATCCAGCAGCAGCAGAGTTTCCTGCAGCACCAGTGCGCCCCGCAGCACCTACAGCAGATCCATACCATCGAACGGCTGCATGGACGACGCGCAGCAGAATCCCAAGAAGCCTTGATCATGCTTGGAGCACAGGAGAGCAGATCGACATAGACACCCTGGGCGAGATGGCCACCCACATCCAGGGCGTCATGGAGGCCCGCGCCAGGGGCCTGGCTATGGCGCAGCAGCTCGAACAACTTGAGGGGTACCTCGCGAACCTGCTACCCCAATATGAACAACAGACGCCGCGGCCTGGTACCGCAGCTTACTTGCACGAGACCGCGGCCCTCGGGTTCGGGCAATCGTCGCATGCCTCATCGGGGTCGTCCCAAGATGCTCCGAGCCCGACGCTCGACAGCGATTTCAGCATGCAGGAGATGGTTTGCGCGCCAAAGCAGGCAGTGCATGGGCCACCACACGCTCGCGGACCAGCTGGGGCGCCACAGCCAGCACCGCTGGAAGACCTCCTCACCTTCGGCTAAGTCCCGAAGGGAGGACCTGCAGGCGATGGTGAGCATATCCCAGCCGAGGAGTCAGACGACGCCGACCTGCGAGAGGACGAGGGAAGGCGAGAGGGCGGCCTCGACGACGAAGCGGCCCCCGCGGACTCGACACCTCTAACGCCCACGCTAGCAGCAGACCCACCAATCCCAACAGAAACAACCCACACCTTTATACCCATCATCTTCCCACCCGTCACTCCCGCGCCCCCGATCAGCACGCCGCTCCCGACGCCCAAGAGAACGCCGACAACAAGACTACTGATTGACTTGAGCAACGGGGACGACGCATCACCAGCCACCCCGCAGCGAATCCCCATCGATGACATCACACCCACGGTACCACATGTGCCACAGTCACCGCCACCGCGGTTCCACATGGGCACGCCCGACAGGCCTACATCGGCAACGCCAGCACGCGGAGGATTGAGGAAGCCTGACGAGGGCGGGAAGTCGAGGAGTCAACCCAGAAAGGTGCGCATCTACGACAAAGGGGACGGCTACGCGGACCCCTTCTGACAGGGCGGCGGCTTTCTTGGAGAGCGGCGACAGCGACCTCGACGCGGGTCGCCGGCCCAACCTGATCAAGCACCCGCTGCCTGAGGGGCAACCTGGCTCAGGCATGCGAAGCATCGCGCGCGTGCCAGACGAGGGAGGGCACCTCTTGCCCAGCCACCGAGACTCGCGCAGCGAGGAGGCCACGCCAGACGTCCACGCACCACAGGCCACGACGGGGCAGAAGCAGCGACACGCAACCGCAGGGGCCGCAGAATTTAGCACGCGCCGCATAGGTGATAGTCGGGGGGATGGCACGCCAGCGGCTCTGCAAACCCGATCCACTGGGGGGCCCAACCCACCGAGCTTTCACACACTTCCCAGCAGCATCGCTCCACTGGGGAGCCAAGTTGCCAGCGACCCACGCCGACGCGACTGCCCGAGAGGCTGCGGGGCGACGCCTGAGCAAGAGTGGGCAATCTACTCGCATGGCGCGCGCAGTTACAAGCCCGCCAGCGGACCTGGGAGACTCCCGCAGGCCGTCAGCGACACCAAACCTAGCAAGCATCAACCAAGCAGAGCGTGCCCAGCACAGCAAGAGTGGAGAAGCTACTCGCGCAGCGGCAGACGCTCGAACATCTTCGAAGTGCCAAGGAGAACACCCCTTGACCACTGCGGGCATGACAGCGGCCCACTTCGGAAGGCGACGGCGGCCCGTGCGGCGCCGCGCGCCAGACTGACCAACCACCAGCATGAGCGACTACGACAGACCAGGCTGCGTCAATCTGGGAATCAACCCCTGGGGGACCTCTCAGCGCCAAGCCCCGCGACACTTGGCGCGGGGCATAGAGCCAGAGACGACGCGAGCGCGGGGTACCTCGGTGAGCAGCCAGAACGAGAACCCCACGGTGCATGGCGGCCCCGCCTGCGCCCAACCACACCCGTGAGGAGCGACTCTCAGATGGGGGCAACAGGTGTTCCAGAGAGACCCCCTCCTCCTCCTCCTCCTCCTCCTCCTCCTCCTCCTCCTCCTCCTCCTCCTCCTCCTCCTCCTCCTCTCCTCCTCCTCTTCCTCCTCCTCCCTCGCATTCTGGCTCGGAGGCGGGGCAAAACAAGCCTGCCTGCACAACCCAAATGGGCAGGCCCGTCCACGCGAGGCGGCCAGATTCATTGCGCCGAGCAGGGCGACGAAGCAACGGCGCACTTGGCGGACAGCCCCCAGGCGCGGATTCATTCATTCAAGCACCAGGCGCGACAACCGACGGGAGGTCTGATTGCACACGATAGCATCGACGACATCGAGGAGACCTTTTTGGACAGCCCATGCCGCCAAATGCATGGCAGTGAAGGTGCACCGAGTCCCGACGGCGATGTGCCTGCAGCATCACGAGGACGACTGGCACGGCACAGGCGACGAGCGAGACACAAGGGTCGAATCGAAACCACGTTGGCGCCCAAGACACCCGTGCCCACAGCTAACCGATTCGCGCCGCACATCAACGTGGAGCTAGCACCAACGCGCCCACCCGCTACTGCTACAAGGTCGGCAGCTCTGACACACTCCCAGCGCGCCGACACCCACGGACGCCCCAGCACTTACGCGATACCTACACCAGCACCGACTAGCCGCCCATATGACCACGCGAGGGGGGCGACATCGACCAAACACCCTCGCAATAAGACGATCACAGCCATGCTAGCCTTCAGACAACAGCCAAAGCGTTACGATGATGCTGGCGCGTTCACCACCAGACATGAGACTAAACGCGACAGTTGCGCACAGGAGCACCATCGCGACCTTCGCAAGAAGACGGCAGCTATGCACCCATTCCGCAGAATGAGAGCAAACGCGACTCCCAACAACCAAGCATCCAAACAAGACACCGCACCTAACCACGTCAGCGGCTACAGCGAAGACTACCAGCATTGCGAACTAAATCGAACGAAACGAGGCAAGCGAAGGAGACCCGACAAGCATCTGCGAACGACGACATCGACCCAGCCGACTACCACCAGCGAGCAGCAGACAAGAACCGCACGCATCGGGGAACCACATGTCCCACCGACGTGGTTCCAGCGGCAAGCACGCACACGCGGAATTGGCATTGCGACCCGGGGGCGCACGACTTCCGCGAGTTCACTCGCGCGGCGGCGGAACAGCTGGCTCCCTGCAGAACCATGGGGGAGTGAAGAGACACGACTACTTTACAGACGCATCATGCCATGCCAGCGCGCCAAGCACCTCACCTTGGGCAGTGGTTCACCTGCGAGAAGAAAAACGCGGCATAGCTCACTGCCGGCACGCGCGCTCGAATTACGCACTTTCAGTCAGCAAGGACATTGCCGATTATATTACATCCAGTGCAAGTCCCAAGCTGGGGGCTATCCTATGGGCGGTCATCGCTAGCATCCTGGATGACGACATGGAGGAGATCGTCATTGTTGGGGGCAACGCGGCGGCCCTGGGCGCAGCAGCGGGAGCCGGAAGAATAGCATCCAAAAAGAATAGAGCACTGGCGCGCTTCGTCAGGATAGTGGTCGAGCAGCTCAG